TCTTCCCCTCCTTCCAGCGGAGCATTCTCCGATCAAACCGCCCCAACAATGAGCCAAATCGCTAGCTTCCTATCGGAGAATCGGGCCCCTCTTCTAGTCAACGTCTACCCTTACTTTGCATACATATTCAATCAGAAAGACATTTCCTTGCCCTACGCTTTGTTCAATACTAATGAAGTTGTGGTGAGAGACGGAGGATTCGAATACCGAAACCTGTTCGATTCCATCACCGACGCGGTTCATGCGGCCTTGGAGAAAGTTGGTGGTGGCTCAGTTGAGATTGTGGTGGCCGAGAGTGGTTGGCCATCTAAAGGGAACGGAGATATAGCGACTGTTGAGAATGCGAAGATGTATAATAACAACTTGATACGGCATGTTTTGGGGAATTCTGGGACGCCAAGGAGGCCAGGGAAGAGCATTGAGGCTTATGTTTTTGGTCTGTTCAATGAGAATTTAAAGCCTGCCGGAACTGAGCAGAATTTTGGGCTGTTCTATCCTGATATGACTGAGGTTTACCATGTTAATTTCGCTGGGATTTAATTAGGCATTGACATAGATCAAGATATATATGTTTAAATCGTCAGATTTTGAAATATATATATATATATATGTTCAATGATCATTGATTTCAATACGGTAGATTTTTCTCATATCATAGTACAATAGTTCATGAATTCTTGTATTTGAATGTACAAGGAGAAGTCCATCAAATATTAAAACATAAATAAATGCTTAGTGCATACCCTTATAATCGTTGCTCTTCCCTTTTTGTCTCCTCTTGTGTTATCCGACATACCTTGCATCATGATCAATATACATAGATGTATATAGATATAAATATATATATATATATATATATGTATGTAGATGTTTACACACACACTCGTGTGCTCACTCTTTGATTGTTTTCCTATAGTGGCTTCTTAATATTTACCCAACTACCCAGTCCAATCCATTATAATTCTGTGTCCATGTATTCTTGTCTCGCCCTCTATTTCAGCAGGTCCTGAATTGCGATCGACCTCATTTAGAAATTGTTAATGACCTAAACATAATACGCGCGGACAATTTTTTCCTTTTTGGCGTAATCAAAAATTTATATTCACATTGTTTATGTGTTTAGGACCTAAAAAGACTATTAGCTTGTGAACTTGTACTTTAACTGGAGATAGAATTCAATTGAAATCTAGTGAATACTTCGATAGATAGAACGGGCCTTAAAGAGAAATTTTGAGTTGAAAAATATTATCGAGAATGAAAAGGAACGCTTGAAATTATAATAGGGGAGAAAATTTGTTTGAAAAAATATGAGCGGGGAAAAGTCACTTTTTTTCCCCTAAAATCTATTTAGAATAGAGTGCTGTTTTCCAACAATAAGTTTAATTATCTAATGTGCATTTGAAAATTTGAAACACAAATTCTCCATGCTGCATTTTTTCGTGTATAATAGACCATGTGATACGTATCCGATAGAACCTCCCTTCGAGCGGGGGCTAGCTCCTGAGAATAGAGAAGGAAGAAACAAAATAGCAGAGAGGGGACGAAGAAGAAAGAACTCAGATAATTCTCATTCCTCAAATTGGTCCATTACATCTCTTTTTTGTATCGAGATCTCCACTTCCTCTAACCGTCTAACAAACTTAGCAATAAAAGGAAATAACAGAATGGCAATAAAAATGTAATAACAACAATATGGTTATAGCCGAAGCATGGCAGTTGGCTGGTGCTCATACCCTTCAAGCCACCCTGGGATATTCTTTGTGCGCTTAGGCCTAGGATTCTTCTTTATTATGTTGGGCTCATTGCTTGGGCCAGGGTCCCCTTCTTGTGGTAAGCCCATCGGAAATGCTGTGGTCGTATCACCATGTTTTCAAGAAACAGTCGTCAAATGTCTCAGATTTGAGTTTCCAGAAAACAGTCATCTAATCTCTGGAACATACTTTTCAAACACATAACGTCTTACACTAGCCGATTGTGTTTAATTAGGAAAAAATTACATTGTTTCTAATTGTAATCAGCACAGAAATTGAAGTTGTAGATGTCCGAAATTTCGCAAGGTGCAAGTCCAGTTCATATTTCTCGTGGTCAAAATAAGGGACAACTTGTATGTTGTTAAAAAAAAAAAAAAAAAAAAAAAAAACAACAACAACAACATTTCCTAATTTTTGGATTTCTCATTTGCAGACCGCCCGAAGTAGCCTTCTGAGGATCTTTGCATGAAATAGCTTTGAAGACACAAAAATTACCAAAGAAACAAGGGCTGACCATATTCAAATCTTGCTTAGAGGGATGTCTCCCTTTTCTACAGCCTTTCCTATTTAGATTACACACCATGGAACCATACTCAAACATTCTCTAACTAAGTGCCTCAATTGAAAAATCATCAACCAAAATGTTTCACGCGTTCAAGTCAGTGATCATGATTCATTGGCGGGCATTTTGTTAGAGAAGAAATTTTTAAATTCAAATTCTTTGTCAAATTTAAAACATTGTAACAAAATTAAAATGATAAGAACCAAATGGGGCATTATTTTTTATTCCCCTCTAAGTTACTCTTGGCCTATAATGAAGGTGGTTCTTTCATCATTTGCGTTTGTTTTTTGTCCGCCAGATTTCAGTCTTGGCGTGTTAGAAGTTCTGCTAGCTATGAGTCTATACGGAGATCTTGGTGGCCTTGGAACTACACATTACACACTCTCGATGGATCGAAAGCTTTCATCGATTGTAGTGATTTTAAAAAGAGCCTTATGCGTGCTCAAATTGATGTGTCGAGGAATTTTTCTTGTATCGGGTCTCGTCTTGCGTCGTTTTCCATGTGCTTCATTAGAATTTACTGATGGAGTCAGTTTTTATCGAGTGTTTTGTATTGTGTACCACAAAGTTATCTATATTAGTATTGGTGTCTGTATGACATATTAGTTGAATGAAATTTTACCTTAAAAAAAAAAGAAAAAGAAAAACACAATGCGAGCAAGCTAAGCATACCAGCTAACTCGCTTATGAGAAACTCTACTCTGCCCCATGGCTTCTGATGAAGTCCCTCAGGGCAAATAATTTCAGGCGTTTTCCACTTAAGACCATAATTAAAACACCACAACAACCTCTCAAGCTCACCACTCATTGTAACTTTAAAAATCTCTGGTTTATACTCGTTAGTTTACTCATTGAAAAGCTTCCACAGAGGTTCTTTAGAACGAGTTTTTAGACTCCCATTGAAAGTATCAAGGTTACAAGAAACCTCCATAATTGTGGCTTAACCCAAAACATTCTCCAACAAAACCCACTTTCACCGTTACGTCATCTTTCCGTTTCCTCCTTTTAAAATATCGGTTAAGAAGAAAAATAACCAAGTAGGATACTAGTGAATCGAGTGACATAGGCTCATTTTGTTTATTCGAGTTAAGTATTTGAATTAAAAAGTAAATTCACATGAGAGAAAATATTGAAATAAAAAAAGTTAAATTTAAATTTTGTTGAGAGAAAATACTGCAGTAAAAGTTTGAGTTGAGATTCGAACTAGCGAAATAAAGGGCCTAAGTTATATCACGGGATTGCATAAAAATGAGAGAAAACTAAAAATGTCATCATTAAAGTAATATCATTTTATTTTTATCACTATTGTAAATTTATCTCATGTCACTAATAACCTGCAAGTTATTTTTTTATAACTTACAGGTTATCTTTCATAATCTGCGGATTATTTTTTGTAACCTGCAAGTTATCTTTCATAACCTGCAGGTTATCTTTCGTAACTTATTGGTTATTTTTTATACTGCCATCAACATTTTGTGGATAATCTTGATAAATACCTCTTGAAAGTGCATGAGTCACGATTTTTACCATTTACTCTTAATTCATAATCTTTTTAGTCAAATAATTACACTTAATAAAAGAGTTTTTATCAAGAATAGTAGGTAAAAGTCTATACTCATACACTCTTAAGTGTAAATTTTACAATTTTTAAATTTTTTTTTTACCATAACATAAATAATAGAGTTGGAAAAAATAAGGTTAAACTTAATATTTTCTTTAAAAATAAAGATAAGTATGATCTTTGTGTCCTTTCTTTATTTAAAAAAAAAGGTTACAAAGTTTGGGTAGAGGTGTCAAATGGGCCGGGCCGTCCATGGACGGCCCGGCCCAGCCCGTAATAGTGTCGAATTCAGCACGGCCCGGTTCGCTACTGTTACGGGCCGTGTCGGCACGGCATGTGTAATGGGCTAGGGCTGGGCCTTAGCTTCTCAGCCCCGGCCCAAGCACGGCCCAAGCACGTGGAGGCCCGCGGCACGGCCCTTGTTCGGCCCGGCCCAAGCCCGCGAAACGGCCCATCAAACGGCCCATTTCATTTGGCCCAGGGGCCCTTCGCGGGCCCAAACGGGAGGCACGTGACGGGCCTCCCGTTTCGCCCGTCACGTGCCTCCCATTTGGCACATGACAGGCCAAACGGGAGGCTCGTCACGTGCCCCCCGTTTGGCCCGCGAAGGGCCCAACGGCTAAAAACCCTAAAATCCGGAAATTCACCCCCAAAATCCCCTATAAATACCCCTTAATTCCACCATAAATCTCACACAACAATTCACTCTCAACTTCTCATCTCACTCTCATTCTATCTCTCAACTTGTCTCTTTGATTTTGATTCTAAGCTTTTCTCTCGCGTTCATTCATTTTCTACCTCTTTCATTTATAAAGTTCAATCAAGTTCTATCAATTTCCAGAAATGGCTTCTCCAAACTTCTATGATTTCACTGCTCTTCCTGAGCTTGGTGATGAGACATTTTATGAGGATGAAATGATGCCTCCTAACCCCACCCCCACTGAACCAGAAAATGCTCCGGTGGATAATGCTTCAGTACACAATGAGGAAGCTGGAGAACGCAGCAGAGAAAAAAGACCGCGAACTTCTCCGGCATGGCAGCATTTCACCGAGGAGCCCCGACCAAATCCAAAAATATGTGAGATGAAAATTCGTGCGGTATGTAAATATTGTAAAAATTACTTTTCTAATAAAAAGGGTGGAGGTACTGGTCATCTGGATAGACATTAAAAAGTATGTCACATCACAGGGGTTACAAAATTTTGCATACGTGCACAACGTGCTCGTGAAGCACTAGCTAAATTTCTAGTTAGTGCTGAATTGCCTCTTTCTTTTGCAGATGATGCATCGTTCGAAGAATTCATCCAGACAGCCTTTTGCCCATAATTTAAATGGGTAAGTAAAAACACAACTCGTTCTGATTGCATGAAAGTTTTTTATGCAATGAGACAATCTCTTGTTGATAATTTTAGGACTTTTAATGCTACTGTCTCTTGCACTTCTGATCTGTGGGAGGGGTGCAATAAAAGTGGATATTTATGTGTCACAACGCACTACATTGATGACGATTGGGTTTTACAAAAAAGAATAATTAGTTTTCGTTTATGTCCATACCCTCATAACGCAACAACTATTTTTAATACAATAGTGGAAATTTTTGGGTTTTATGGGATAGAAGATAAAGTTTTAACAATTACTTTTGATAACGCGTCAGCTAATACAGCTGTAATTAATCGATTTAAACGTAGTTTGAAACCAGCATTTGGAGGGGAAATTTTTCATCAACGGTGTGCATGTCACATAATTAATTTAGTAGTTCAGGCAGGCATTGAACATATCTCAGTTAATCTTACAAATATTACAGAATCATTATCATTCATATCTAGTTCTGGAGCTCGGCTCCAAGAATTCAAACAATATTGCAGGAACAGCCAGATGCGCCCAAGAAAGTTTCCACCTGACGTGAGACATAGGTGGAATTCAACATATTTAATGTTGAAGGCAGCACTCCCATATTCACAACTTATCACGACATATGTAAACAGTAAGAACGATCAAATTTTAATTTTCGATCCTGATTGGCAGATTGCTGAGTATTTTTTAAAATTTCTAGAAGTTTTTTATAATGCTACTGAATTACTTTCTGGAGTTTATTATCCCACTGCACATTTAGCTTTACATCAACTATTTAATATTTCAGAAACATTTTCTTATTATAGGGATACATAACTTTTTGGAAATATAGTTAACTTGATGGAAAATAAATTTAAAAATTATTGGTCAGGTTGTCCCATATTATATGCATTGGCAACCATTTTGGATCCTAGGTGCGGAGTAGATGGAATTGAATAATTGATGACTGCTATTATAGAGAATTTAGAAATAGATATGCAACTAAGTATTACTGACGCTAAGAAAATGTTAGAAAAAGTTTTTAGTTTGTATGAAGCAAAATATAGCACAGGTCAAAAAGAACAGGGAACTTCGTCGTCAACTACCAGTTCGGGGCCTAAAGGATCGTCGTGGAGTTTCTTGAAGAAGAAAGAGAAAACGGCAGGATCGTCCTCAACACAAGCGTCTACAGAACTAGTCAAATATTTTGAAGCAAATTTTGTAATCGATGACGACAAACTAGACATCTTACAGTGGTGGAAGAGCAAGACCGATCGTTTTCCAATACTATCCATAATAGCTCGTGACATTCTTACAACTCCAGTGTCAACGGTAGCATCGGAGCAAGCTTTTAGCGCAAGCAACCGAATTCTTGACGAGAAGAGAAGCAGAATGCATCCAGATATCTTAGAGGGACTAATGTGCGTTAAAGACTGGGAAGATGCCAAAAGACAAAAACAACAATACACAGATGATTCGATGCAAGAATATTTTTCTAACTTAGAAATAACAGAATCTTCTGGAAGCACTTAGGTTTGTAATTTACTATTCCTAGCTACTGCACTCTTTTTTCCTTCGCTAAGGTTTTGTCTCGATCTTCCTACGGGTTTTACTTAGCAAGATTTTTAACGAATCAGTCATTTATGTGTACTCCTATTACGTCAATTCAATAAAATCACATCTTTTGAGGTATATGATATATATTTTTTTAATTAAATTTAAAAAAAAAATACAAGAGTCGGGGCCGGCCTGTGAAGAGCCTGGGCCCAGGCCCGGCCCTCGCCCTTATGGACTAGGGCTAAGGGCCTGGACCGGACCTGAAATTTTCTTTTTAACCCCGGCCCAAGCACGGCCATGCACTATGTAGGGCCATGCCAAGCACGGCCCAGGCCCGTAATAGGCTTTGAGTCAAGCGTGCCGTGCCGGCCCGACACACACGTTTCACATCTCTAAGTTTGGGCAATGAACAAAGAGTTTACCTGACCCGAATAATACGGGTACCAAAACGAAAAAACAAAACAAAAACAAGAGATTTTCCCTCCTGTATTACCTTCGTCTCCGCAGCCTGATACGCAGGAGCTAGGGTTTTCAATGCAACCCCTTTTCTCCCAAAACCTCAAAGCGTCTCTCTTTTCTTCATTCTCTCTCAGTCTGTGATTTTCCCCTTTCTCAATTGAATCAGGAATGGGGAAAAAGAAACCCAAAGACCCCGAAACCACCGCCCAAAACGACGCCGTTTCGTCTCAGCCCGACATTTTCACGACCCTCTTTGGAGAGGTTAAGGACAAAAACGCAGTCGTTTCAATCTTCTCCGACGACAATCCTTTCCTACGGAAGCCCCAAGAGCGACAAACCCTAGAAGGTTCAGGAAGCTTCGATAATGGCGGAGTGGAGAATCCTGACGCCGCCGTGCAGAAGGACAGGAAGAGAAAAGGCGAGAAAAAGGTGAGTCCTGGCTCGGATTCGGCCGATGAAGCTCCGGAGGCTCAGAAATCGAAGAAAGGGAAGCTGAAGAGCTCCGATTTGGAAGATGGTGATGAGGATGTAGGGAAGAAGGAGAATAAGAAGAAGAGGAAGAGAGATGAGATTGAGAAGGAGTATGAGGCGAGGAAGTATGGAGCTGTGGATGGTAATGTGGCGGAGGAGGAAGAGAAGCGATTGAGCGGGAAAGTTGGGGAGAAGAGGAAGAGTGTGGATAATCCGGCGGAGACGTTGGTGCCGAAGGAAGGTTTCGACGACGAGAGCAAGCTTCTGAGGACGGTGTTCGTCGGAAATTTGCCGTTGTCGACGAAGAAGAAGGCTTTGATTAAGGAATTTAGTAAATTCGGAGAGGTTGAGTCCGTGAGGATTCGGTCTGTGCCAATTACCGATGTGAGTGTTTTTTTAAATTGAAACCTCTTGAATTGTTTAAAGTTTGGTTCTTTTTATTTTTCTTCATTTTGGTGATTATGAACATATGGTTTATATGTTTGATGTTTTGTTAGACCAAAACACCGAGAAAAGGGGCAGTAATTAGGAAACAATTTCATGAAGCTGCTGACAGGTAATGATTTTGAATTGCTCATCTTTGTTTTTATTTTCTTATTACTTGTAAGATAATGGGATTTAATGCTTTGGATCAAATTCCTTTAGCCAAGTAGTTACTTTTTCTTTTGGGGCTGAATTTTTGGTTGGTTGTTCGTGTGATGTTGTTTGGTTTTCAGTTTTGTTGCAATGTCTTGTGTTTGAATCTATTTCAATGAGTAAGAAAGTTGCTGATAAAGCAACGATGTATGTAGAACGCGCATAGGAAAACAACTGTTTCTTACTTGATGGGTTATCGATTGGCTAGAAGATTTTGTAATCTAGCTTTATGAATCAGATGGGTTCTCGTATGGATGGTATAATTGATAATGTAGCTGTATCAATGTCTTAACTACATGTTTGCTTTGATTTTCTTATTGTTGCTGTACATGTTTATCTTTTGTTATTTTTGAGAGAGTGTTGTTTTACTGATAATAGAATGTTTTCTTTCACAGCGTTCATGCATATGTTGTTTTCAAGACAGAGGAATCTGCGAAAGCTTCTTTGTCCCATAACATGGCTGTGGTAGATATTCTTGACTCGATTGGATGATCATCCTGATTATTATGAGTAGCTGTGGACAGAAACTTATTTCTTTTCCAATTTAAATTTTGAGTTCAAGCAGTAAAGGGACTATGAATCGAGTTTATTGACATCTTATGGATGTATTCTTAGGTGGGGGACCATCACATCCGAGTTGACAGGGCATGCCCACCTCGCAAGAAGATGAAGGGTGATGAAGTTTCTCTTTATGATCATAAGAGAACAGTTTTTGTGGGTAATCTTCCATTTGATGTAAAGGTGAGTTTCTCTCTCTCTCTCTGTAAAACTTCTTACCTTGAAATTTATGTTTTTCCAGTCTATATCCATATGTGCTGAGTGGATCCTTTTCTGCAGGATGAGGAAGTGTATCAGTTGTTTTGTGGTATAAACAATCTTGATTCTAGCATTGAAGGTGTTCGTGTCATCAGAGATCCTCACAATAATCTTGGAAAGGGTTTTGCTTATGTTTTGTTTAAGACAAGAGTATGTTACGACAAACCCTTTTGGAGATCATTTTTTTAACGCTTCACATGTAACAACACCTCTGTCATCATGTATTGAGTTTTGCATCAGCATTTTTTGACGGTTTTGCATGAGGAAGAACTGCAGATAGAAAAACAACCAAGAAGTGCTTAAATTTCAGTTTGGTGAAAGTCTCTGATATGGCTATGTCCTATCAAATAATTATGAGTTTTGTAAAATTGGTGACCATGAAGTTCAAATTGGACTCCAGAACTCATTGTATACAAGAATTACGAAACATACTAGTATTTTTTTTTCCCACAAAAGTAAATAATTAAGTAGAACTTTCAATTGGGTTATTTCCAGCTGAAGCTAGTGGCTGACCACGATAAACGTCTACCATGTATTTGTGTGTTCTATATCTTAGGAGATAATAATAGTTTATGCTAAGAAGACTCTACTTCTACCTCCACTTTTCATGAGTGTAAATGCATCTAGAGGTGTGAGATCTATCTAGTTTTTATCTCTTTATTAACTCATAAGGAATATCCAGAGAGAGGCTTTGTAGTTATAGATATTGAACTCTGCTAATTTGTAGTTATAGATATTGAACTCTGCTAATTTTAGATACCGAGTTAGCTTGCTGCTTTATCTTCATTTTTCATTGTTTGTGCTGCTACTTTGAACATTGCGCAAATGTTACGTAAATGATTTTTGATTGTGCGCATTTGTCTTTGATTATGTAGGAAGCTGCGAATTTGGTTGTTAAGAAAAGAAACTTAAAGCTTCGAGATCGGGAGCTGAGGCTTTTTCATGCCAAACCAGATTCGACACCATTTAAGAGAAAGAACCCAGCATCTGCAGAGAAAACTAGTTCCCCGGCAAAGAAGTTCCGGGATTCGGGTAGTGGAGATGTTAGCAAGAAGGCTTTCACAAACATTTCGACGTCCTACCAGGGCTTGCGTGCGAGCAAATCCGGTGTCCAAAAGAAAGTTGCAAAAGGTTTTAGACCAGAAAAGTCCACTACGAAAGCTCATAATGGAGTGCGGGAGCGTAAAGAGAAAAGACCAGCAGTTGCTGCCAGGAAGGCAAAAGCGAATGCGCTAAGCGAAATTGGTGCTTCGAAACAAGCGGGAACAAAACGTAAGATGGATAGCTGGACTCCAGAGAGTTCCCACAGGAAGAAGAAAGCGAAGAAATTAAGGTAGATTGTTGCCAAATACATGCTCTTGTATACGGGCATGAATCACAGTTGAAAGGCTGTAACTGCTCTTTAGTTAACATGGTGGATGATAGAGCCTCGTTATTTCCTGTACGTCTAAAATCGACTATATGATATATTGTTCTGCATTACCGCAATTACTCTGTGAAAGAAACGGGAATTTCTGTTTCTTCAACTGAGTTTCGATTTTGATTCCCTACAGCTAGATGGTAGGAGAGGGAGTGGACCAATATGAGTTTTAGCATAAAGATCCGTAACTCCATATTGTATCTTAGAGATGACAATTCGTGTCACGTGTCATGTTTGTGTTGTGTTTTAATCGTTTTTTTTTTTTTAAATTTGCAGTCAACCCGAACATGACTCGTGACACGAAATTTTTTAAAAACTGCAACACGAACACGACATGACCACTTTACGAGTTGACAGGACACGACTCGAAAATGACCCGTGACACGAAATTGACATGTGAATCCGAAATTGACACGAAAATTGAATACTTTTATCTACTTTTTTACATATTAGAAACAATTTAAAATTCATAATACATTAAATTACAATAACATCCATTAAAATTAAGCAAATAATAGTATAAGATTTTGAGTATAATTATCATGATATTACAAGTTCATAATAAATTTTAAAATATGAAATGAAAAATATATGTATTTTTTAGTTTTTTATGAGTTTCGTGTCGTGTTCGGGTTAGACGGGTCCAATTTGAAATTGACCCGTGTTTTTCGTGTCAATTTCATGTCGACCCAATTTTGATCCGAACATCTTTTTTCTCAACCTTAACTCGTAAAATTCGTATCGTTTTCGAGTCGTGTCGTCGTGTCGTGACCCATATTGCCGGCCCTATTGTATCTGGACTTTGGCCAAAACTTTCAAATGCTCAAAGCAAGTTATGATGCAATGACCATTTAAGTGTGTTAATCATCAGGTTAAGAAAATAAAAGGATTCTATTCATCTGCACCTCTCAATTTAGAGTCATTTTGTTAAAACTCTCATTTTGCTCTTTAAATTTTAAATTAGTTTTACTTAATCACTTTTTTTAAAAAAAATTTCTATTGATAAAAAAAAGAGAAGAAAAAAGAGATTAATTGTGTCATGTGGTCCTTTTTTGAATATTTAAGGAGTAAAAGTGAAAGTTTTTAAAGTTCAAGGGGTTTTTTTTATTATATATGCCTCTTAAACTTATCTTATTTAACAAATTACCTTCTAAACTTTTAATTGACAATTTATCCTCTCAATTTGTAAAGTTTTGCAATATACCCTATTTTAACAACGATTTTGTTAAATTAGTGTAAAAAAAAACACGTTCAGTCAAAAATTTTAACACTCCAATTCAAATATAATACAAATCTTTCAATATCTCAAGTTTTAATTCCTTAATTCTAATAAAAAAATTAGAGCAAATTAAGTTAAATGAGGTATATTGTAACAAATTTATAAGTTTTGGAGAGTAACTTGTTAAAATTAAAAATTTAATGGACAATTTGTTAAATTACGATAAGTTCAGAGAACAATTATTTCAAAAATATAAGTTTAAGAGATAAAATGAGAATTAGAATTACGTTTCAAGTTTGAGGGGAAGAGTTGAGATTGATTTAAAAAAAAAAAAAATTGGAAAAGAAAAGAAAGAAAAAAAGAAAATTTGTATTAAACATGCTTGTTTCAACAGGTCAGCCTTTTGTGCGCACATATAATATAGGTATAAGTAGGGTTGGAGATTAGGGCAAGGGGTATAATGTCGCATTTAATAACCCAAAAACTTTTCCCTCTATTGATTAGATTAGGGGACTTCCATAAAGCCGACGCTGTTTCATTAGCATGTAGTATACCATTTCAACACATAAATCAGTCCGCCTGATCTATAGTGAGTTTTATTTTATTTTATTTTTTGTCTTTCAAAAAAAAAAATATTTAAAAATTAAAACTCAAACAAAATAGGCTACAGCTCATTCCCTTGTGAAAAAACTTTGCCCCTCCCTCGGTATATCCGTCTGTAGTTCATAGTTCACTCAAAATCGTCGTTATTCTTTAGGGTTAGCGCAAATCCAAAATTTTCAAAGATTTTTTATTTTTTTTTTCGGGTGTTATTTTCTTTTAGCTAGTTCCAAAGGGTTTTTTTCTTTTCTTTTCTTTTCTTTTTTAAAAAAAAAAAAAAAAAAACCGTTTGTGATCGGTTTTTCTTGTATTGATGCACAAGGCATTTTGTATCCTAATTTTAACAGACGTTAATGAGAACCACTAATGCCACTAAAATTTAATTGAGGGAGATGTTTGCTCATAAAATTAGGTTGGGGACTAAATCGTAATACATTTACAAGTTTTCGACAAATCATGCCATTTAACCCTACTTACCATGAATCGTCTGCGCCTATAAATCGTCTTAAAACACGGCGCAAGTTGCCATGACTTTTTCTTGAATTAGTTGTTATGGTGGACCGTTTCACATTAATGGATTTTAGTACTATTCCACTTCATGAGATTTAATGGCTAGTTTTGTGAAGGGTAAAAGCCAGCCCATTGCATGCTGCAGATTTCAAAGCTACGTTGATGGGCAACGTCCAAGATTGGTGAACACATTTCAAACTAATTTTATGCATGTGCGAATTATTGGTGAGAATTCAAAAAAAGATGGGCTCATTTTGTTCGCTGATTCGAGTTTTTAATTCAAATTGAGATGTGATTTTATGTAAGAACTTTTTACTGTAGTAAAAAAGTTAGATGTGACTTTGAGAATTTTTTACTGTAGCAAAACTCAAATTTTAAACTCGAATCGGTAAAATGAACGAAACCATAAGTTTTTCCTAGTTACATTCTAGCCGTGGTTATTTATTAAATATGAATTCATATTTAATAATGTGAGGTGATAAAAATTCAATTTTATTAATTATTACATAAGAAAAAATTATTAAACTTACCCTTAAAGTGCACGAATTTAAATTTTTAATAAATATAATTATTTGATTAAAAAATATTAATAAAAAATAAAAAAATAAAAATTAAGACTAATGTGCTCTTAGAGATATTTATCTCATTTAACCTCATCATAAATTTTATTTTAATCAACTATCCAACTTATTACAACTGTCATATTAGCATCTTACGATTAAAATAATAATATCTATTGATAAATAAATATTATTATCAGTTAAAATAATAATACTACGGCAAAATTAACATAACCGTTAAAACCACACCCATAATCAATTATATATATGAAAACGTCACCATTGAACATATATCTTTGCTAAGAAATATATAAACGTAAAACTGACCCATTCCAAGTTCTCAAGTCTCCTCGTTCCCCTGGTACTCTGAGCATTTCATACGTCATTTGGCTTTAGTAGAAGTTTACAAGAAATGTAAACTATTATTTATTCCTGTCCTATTATTTCTTTCTCGCCTTTTCTATTGTTTTCAATAATAGCAAAACAAGGAAAAAAAAAAAAAAAAAACGTGTTCAACATTTTTTTTTTCTTTTAGCAGGGAAAAATGAACACTCAGATAAACAAGGAAATATCCATGTTTGTGTGTGTGTGAAAGTGACAATGATTTCAATAGTTTTGGTACTAAAAGCATAGTAACTTTATAAGAGAGCGCCTACATAACAGCCTTATTCAATATACACATTAACGAACTTGAGTACTTCCCTACCAATGAAATTAAACACCACATAAACATCATCCCCCACCCTTTCCCAATCTCCCTAGTTGCCCCAACCCACCTTCATAAGACAGTGCAGAGAGTCCATCCAGCGTCTCACTTCCATGAAGCCGAGTACTCGTCATCTGTGATGGCTGCAAGATGCAACGAAAACCATAACCAAACAGAGGCACAGCCATAATTTCCGGTTAAGTATGCACAGAATAAGACGATACCGAAATGACTGCTGAGAGAACGCGAGTCCATGTACACCACGGTCAGGCAGCATAAAGCTCTATGACTTGCCTTTCCCCACCAGCGTGGGGGTAACTGACACAATTCCTATGAAGAATAAAGTGGCAATTGAATTGAAATCATAGAGATCACCAATGGACTGAAGCTGTCCAAGAGCCAGTCCAGCCTGCAACATAAAACCCAGACAGTCAATGACGATTGACATAAGACCAAGTTGTAAAATTTGAGTAGCATCGAGTATTCGACGACAAAGAGAACCAGCATCAGCATTTCATAAGTTTCGTGGATAGTCCTACGTTCTGATTTCTTCTCTTGGGTAAAAACATTCACAATATATGCATAATCAAGTTCTCAAGTTATGAGATAGTCATATTCAGTGTCAGTGGTGTACCCTGACAGTGATATAAGCAGCAGGAATGAGACCAATTGAGGTTCCCAGGAAGAAAATATGATAAGGCACATCAACAATTGGAGAAGCAAAATTGATAAAGGTATTTGGCAAGGTCGGTGTCAATCTCAAGAAAAGCATGTAGTTCAACAGCCGCTCTCTTCTTTTAGCAACCTGAGAGTAAATAGAAGCAATTTATTCCATTTTGTTGAATTTTCACATAACCGAAGAAATAAAAGCTTGGATTTCATGGTTTACCTGTGCTTGAAAGAAACGCAACTTGTCAGGCCAAAGGGAGAATACAATGGGACGCCCAATCAGCTTTGACAGGAAATAGCAAGAAGAAGCACCGGCGGTTGCAGCAAACACAACAAGTGCTACGCCTCTGAAGACTCCGAAAAGCGATCCGGCAAGCAGGGACATAAACACGGTCCCGGGAATCATGAAAGTCTGCATGAAGATGTAAACCATACAATACCCCACCAGGACCTGTGCAGTGTAGTCACTTGTGTAGCTTTCAAGATTATCTCTGCTCAAAAGAGGAAAAGAATAAGAAAGAATAGATCAGCTTGCAAGTTGCAAGTATCTTCTTGACTTCTTCTATGCAAACTTGCAAAAGAATTAAGAGACACAAACTGACACAATAATTCTATTCTAATTCAGATAAACTTGCCTCCACACAACTCCATTTAAGTTAATTAAAATGTTTTATGAAGGTTTAAGGAGGAAAGTCATCCCCCTAGATATGGTTCTGATGCTTTGAGTCTTTATGTACCTTTAGAACGAACCAATACATTTTTAGAAACTCCATCAGTTTTCCTTGAGCGTCACTGACTTAATCACATAATTCGAACCCGCAAAAACAACGGCCTAAATTTCTACCTTTTGAGCTAGTTCCAAGATTCTCCAAGTCTTTCTAGCTCAAGATAAAGAATTTGTTATTCTGGAGGAAACAATGACGATTAAGAAGCAATTATTCATACCTAATATCAACATGCAAGGCTAAAAATGTAGTGATAAATGCTTGATCTCACTTGGGAATCCTTTATTTATTTATTTACTTATTAAAAAAAAAAAAAAAGCTTGCGGAGATACCAATAACTTCTCAGGTTTAGTTAGATTTGGGGGAAAATATAATAATTAACATATCTTCCTTTTAAGAACAAACAGAGCTGAGAAGCAACAAGTTTTATGCCAGAATAGAAACTGGAAATTAAACGCAGATTTGCTTTATTATCAAAAACCCAAGCTAGTGACAAATCTGAGGAACCCAGAAAACAGAAGTTTAACCACAAAATCATCTCTTAAAGTCGACCCGAACAGGATACCCAAAAAAAATCGTCTTTTTAATTTTTCCCTCCGTGAAAATCAATCGTACAATAAACAAACCAAATTCAGCACCAGAAAATTCAGCGATTCCCTTGCAAAAACAAATTATTCAAAGAATTTTCAACATGCACGATCGCATTATCACCAAAAACTCACGCATGCACAATTACGAAAGAAATAATCAAGTAAAAAACAACGAACAATTGAAAAAAAAAAGAATAAAAAATAAAAAATTTATAATTCGATAAAATTTATAATTCGAAAAAAAAAAACCTGAGGATTTGAAGATCTTCGAGAGTACGAGGAAGCTTGAGAAAGCTGTAATCGGAGGAAGGCATGGTTAGGTAAACGCCGAGGAACCCGAGCACGAATCCCAAGACCACCGTCGAAGCCACGGTCACCTCCCAAAAGCTCAACGGAAAGCTATTGCCGTTGGATCCCGTCGTCGAACCGACATTCTCGGTTTTCTTCGCCATCCCGCTTTCTCTCTCTTCTGAAAATTTTCCTTCCGTTTCCATTGTTTTCTCGGGAAAAAAGAGAGAGAAAGGAAAGGAAACTGAAAGATTTTTTTTTTTTTCCTTCTCTATTTCTCTCTTCTTCTTTCCTTTGTAGACACTTCTTCTTTGGTTGTCTTCTGTCTTTCTTTCTCTCTTTTTTGTTTGTTTCTTTGTTTTAACGTTTTTTTTTTCTTTTTAATCTCGATAGATACAGAATTGAGGAAAGAGCAGAAGAATATTCGCTGCTCCTGGTATTAAATCCAAAAAGCAAAAATGGACTCACCTCAAAAATAAGGAGAAAATGAAATGAAATGCCATTTATGATTTATTAATGAAATTGAAAAGGAATTATTTTTTTAGTGAGTAAAAATATGAAAAAGAATTAATATTTTGCATTTTCTTTTTTTATTATTTTTTTAATGTTATGTTCTCACTTTTTTTTTATAGCAAAACCAGCGTCAGTGTGTCGTCGTGTCCCTTAATAAATTAATTAAATGGACCGAATAATAATATATTCATAAATTATTGTTAAAAGAGATTGATAATCAACTTAACAGAATTGTGGTTGTATCTCATAAAACTTAACAGAATAAATGGCTATAAAGAAATTTATTCACTAGTCATTTATCATTTGTTATTTCTCCTGTAATTAGTGAAATCACAGATTAATTTGGAACCTAAAAAAAAAAAGAAAAGGGAACCGAGTCTTTCTATCACTCGATTAGACTGAATTGAGTTATTGGCTTCTATTTGTTTTTTTTTCTTTTGATTTCGAGAATAACAATAGAATTATTAAATTAATTAATCTTCTGAGCAAAAAAAAAATTAAATTAATCTTAAAATATTGTCTAATTGTTTTTGGGGAAATGAGATTGGGACATTTAAGCCACGATAAGCATGTGAAAGTGGGAACGGCTGAAGAGATGGAAATTATAATGACTGCAGTGCGTCAACCGCTGCATGTGCGTTGCGCGTCCCTCTATTACACTTGTGTAGTGCTCCAACCCGCGCCTTAATTTATAAATTTAAAATTATAATTTATTATTTTAATTTTTAAAATTTAAATTTTTTATGAAAAAAAAATATTATAAAAAATTAAAAATTATGATTCAAAATTAAAAATAAATTCTTAAAACAAATATTCTATAAATGACTCTACATCACCGATGAATTGATGGCAATAAAGATAGCTCTTTTTTATTCTTAAAATGGTATAGAATTCGATGTTATAATTTTCTGAGTAGCCGGCCCTGGCAAAAACACTGAGGGAGAGAGGAAACAAAACCGAGAAGCTTTTGTGGCCAGATTCAATGTATCATTACTTGATTAATATGTTGTGTGGTATTAAATACGTGGTTCCATAAATAAAAAGTTGAGTTATTTTTTAAGTAGGATTAAATCATGTACTTTTTTTTCATTGGTGAATTCTGATATTTTTAAAATGATTAAAAAAAAGTGTCGTGATGATATTAATAATCTTTTTTCACGGAAAGAAAAAAAACCCTTAATTATTCCCTAACTATCACGACGTTTGATTCATGAATTAGAACTATGTGATTAGAACTATTTTTTATTTACCTATATTTTTTGTGAAAGAAAATACTGTAACGAACCACGAACCATGATTCGAATCAGGAAACGAATATAGGTACCAAACATCCTATAATTATCATTTTACTTTTTACTTGCCCTCAAAAGCTCTTTTTGTTACCGTTATTTCTGAATCGGACGGTTTTTTATTACTTATGGTCAAAATTAACTGGTTGGTCCTTAAAAGAAATAAACCTAACATTGAATTGAATGGTGATAATTGATAAAGACCATTCGGAAAAAAAAAAAAAGTTATTTTCAATTGGTTCTGTTTGGTTAGAGAAAATGGGAAAATATTGCAAGGGGTGAGTAGTGTCAAAGGACTCTTCTTATTACAAGGCAAAACAAAGGGTGTATTTAGAACTCGTTTTAAAATGATTTATTTTTTATATAAAAATGAAAATGAAAACATTTTCAATCTCAGACATAAATCATTTTTGAAAATGCGTTTGGTAGTTTTATCAAGAGATTATTTTCAGTATTAAAAAAATTCATTAATGTCTCTCTCTTTCTCTCTGCTCGAGAGATGAGAAAATGAAAACAAAAAATGAAAAACGACTAAAAGTCATTTTTTATTTCTCTCTCATTTTACACTAAATCAAAAAATTATTTTCATTTTTATTTTTTATCTTTATTGCGTCAAACGCCGTTTTAAAAACGTTTTCATTTTTTTTTTAAAAAATGTGTTGGCATGGTGGCCATGTCGTGAGACAATTTGGGGACGATCACCTAATTAATTACTTTTTCTAACCAATTGCCTTATGTGTTAAATTTTTTCAAAGAACCCTAAAGCTTTTTTTTTTTCTCGAAACAAGGGAGAATAACGATTTTGAATTTTTTCTACTCCACCGGATTTGCTTCCTTTTCTTTTTTTTTTTTTTTTTAAGAAATGTTTCATTTTTAATTGATTCTCATTAATTTTTTTTCTTACATTTCTCTTTAAAATAAGTTCTCTTAAATATATTTCTACTTAAATATTTTTCATACAGTCATATAAGAAATTATTTTTCAAATATAATATTAAGCTTAAAGTTGAAAGAGAAAAAAAAATAATTGTGTTTGAACTGTTGTTAACAATTTAGATTGTGAATTTAGTGGGTATAAATTTTAATTAAATAACCATTTGAATTGTAGTTGATGGTTTGAATCTTGATTGTTAAAACATAGTGATTTGAACCGTTAGGCGCAATTTAAATTGAATTGTTTGGTTTAAATAACTATACCAACATGTGGATTATTCTGCTTTGAATACCCGTCGCATGCTCGTAGTGGTTTATAGAAAACTCAAAAAGGGACGAGAAGACTTTAAGATATGAGAAATGCCAGTGTCATTCTTTTTATCACTCACTTTGTCACTTTTTGCGTTTACTGTTTGACACTTGGACTCCACTAACATGATATATTATTATTTAAACAGAAAATGAGATAACGGAGTCCACATGTCAAACAATGAATATAAAAAGTGACGAAAAGAGTAAAGAAACTGTGATGCTAACATTTTTTATTTCTCTTAAGATTATATATTAACAACTCTTGGAACTTTTAAATTTGTGTTAACATCCTTCAGTAAGAATTTGCCCAACATTTTGTTAGTTCTCTTCTCATTTGTATAACAAACCTCTAATTCTCTAAATTTCACAAGCTTAGAAGATCACCTTGCTTAAAAATTCATTTAAAAAAAGTTTCACCTTGCAATGAACATATTCTAATAAAAATCATAAAAAGACCAAAATAATTGAAATAAATGTTATTGGCTCAATACTGAATGTAAGAGGCCTAATAGTATAATTAGGTTAATCGAACTGAACCAACCGATTCAATTTTAATTGGAAAAATTGACTAAACCGAGAATTGGAGTCAATCAGCTGGTGGGTCCCAAATCCAAACTGACAGTAGCAATGAACACCCCCTAGTATCTAATCGCTTCCTTTTCTTTTAGTTCACTGATTCGAGTTTTTAATTCGAGTTGAGATGTGATTTTATGTGAGAGCTTTTTACTGTAGTAAAAAAATTAGATGTGACTGTTTCTGAGAACTTTTTACTGTAGCAAAACTCGAATTCTAAACTAGAATCGGTGAAGTGAACGGCGTCATAAAGTGTTTTACATTATTTATGATAACTAATTTTTTAATGTGTTGTGTCAGAGACATTTAATGCATTTATTATTTGCCGAAAAATTCTTTTATATAATTATTTAAGAGTTTTTTAATTTATTTTAAAATAATATGTGTAAAGTATCATCTTTGAAGAAAATTAAGTAGGGATGCATTTAAAAAAAATTAAGTAGGCACACATGTAAGTAAAATTATTTTGACCATTGACAAAAAAAAAAAAAAAAGAGCACTTGTGAAAAAAATTACTATTATATGAGTAAAGTGCGAAAAAATAGATATTTTAAAAAACACATAAAAAATAAAATGTAAAAAAAATTGCCAAAAAATAAAAAAACTTGAAAAATAAGAAAATAAAGATAAAAAAGCAAAAAATGAGGGGACTTTATCCGATGTTCCCTCTCTATTGGGAACACAGGTATTTCTTATTTTTCATCCATCAGATCTGTACCAAAACCTGTTTATTTTGTATACTTTTTCAATATGGTGTGATTTTAACCGAATCTAATTGCTAAAAAAACAGGGAACACCAGTGTTTTCAAAAAGGAGAGAACACTAGAGAAACTTCTAAAAATGAGAAAAAAAAAGAGGTAAGAGAAAGGGGCTGCTACGTAGAAAAGAGCTTTGACTCTTTTATTTTTTTAGATTAGATTAGATTAAAAAAATTTAAAGAAATCTTCATCCCGCCCGGAATAAGAAAGTTTACAATACGTTATTTCGTGTATCTTGTTGTCTGCGTGAGGATGGTATATTTAAGACCCGTTTAGTTCACTGATTCGAGTTTTTAATTTGAGTTGAGATGTGACTTTATGTGAGAGCTTTTTACTGTAGCAAAAAAGTTAGATGTGACTTTTTCTGAGAGTTTTTTACTGTATCAAAACTAGAACTCTAAACTCGAATCGGTGAAATGAACAGGATCTTAGAGGGTGAGGAATATCCTTCCCTGGTTGTGAGAAACACTACCACCAAATGAGTGAGACATTATCTTTATTTATTTATTTATGAAATAGGGACTTTTGTTGACCTTGCATTGCAAACTCTTTTTGGCTCATATTTTCAAGAGCATGATTTTATTAAGGCCTTGTTCTTTTCGCTGATTCCAGTTTAGAATTCGAGTTTTGTTATAGTAAAAAGCTCTCAGAAATAGTCACATCTAATTTTTTTGCTACAGTAAAAAGCTCTCACACAACATCACATCTCAACTCGAATTAAAAACTCGAATTAGCGAACCGAACGGGCCCTAAGTGTAGATAAATAACTGTTGAGGTGCAAATAAAGTCGTATATTAGTAAAAAAATGGAAGCCATTAAAGGAGTGAGCTACTTTACTCATTAAGTAAATTTTTTG